TAGTATTTTTTAGAGCTCTATCAACGTTTAAAACTTAAATGGTATAGTATACAAAGCTTGTAATCGACCAGTCAATTTTTGTAATAAATTATTTTTAACTTAAATTGTATACGTTACCATTTTTTAAAATCAAAAGATCATAGACATTTAACGCAAATGGGAGTATAAGGAAAAAAATGATATCTAGTTGAAAATCATATTAATATATCTAGTTATTATAAGTTGGGCAAACTAATAACTGTAAAAGTATAGAAAAACAAAATTCTTATACCTTTAAAGATATCCTTGTGGTTTATAGCTAGTGAATCACTCTGTAAACTGTTTGTGTAAACTTATTTTTTTTTATCGATACATTTCTATGAATTTTTAAGATCTATGCGAAGCCTATAAACATATTAGTCAGAAAGTCCCAGTGAATATATTAGAGCGGTAAAATAGTTGGATGTAGACTATTACTATGCAAATAATAGTGATAACATCAATCGCAGGATCATAAGCGCAGCCAGAGGTCGTGCCCAAAGCTCCATTTCCAAACCGGTTATTTTGTTAAATAAATATAATAATCGTCTTGCAAACGTTCTTTTTTTTCCAAGTAAGAAATACCTTCATACTAATATGAGATGTCGGAAACCAACTTTACACGGTTAAGTGTATGTCGGCCGCATCACAGCAATAGTGTTACTAATTTATTGATCGTTAAAAGTGTTACAATTAGTCGTTCCACCGAGTAGGTTTGCAATGAACACGCGAAATCGTTTCGGTCCATTTTGCCTATTTTTTTTTCTCCGCCAATTATTCGGATAAATATAATCATCGTGTTCACCATCAGTCGGTATTTTTCACAGGTTTCGGAAAAAATATTTAATATCTTACACAAACGGTGACTTAACTCGGACATCTAGGAGTGTTAGCTTGTATGCGACGGTGAAGTAGTAAACAGTAGGACTAAAACCAGTGTGGCCACACAAGACAAAAATATAAGTCCTTATCGTTAAGCGGTTGGTACCTACTGTATAATATGATAAAATAATTTTTTAACTCTTAGCTTTAAATATTATCATTGTTTACAAAAAAATGTCATCATTGATATCTTATCACCACCACCATAATATGTTGAAAGATATTTTTTTTCTCTTCTAACTGGGCAGACTGACTTAAGTGTTTCTGCTAACATTAAAACTACTATAGCCACCCCCAAACGTACAGTACTCAATAAATATACATATATTATCATGACACCACTAATAAAATATAAATAGAATATCCGTTAAACATCTGTCCTTATCGTTTTCGTTTTCACCAGTCATTATAATATCTATAATCATAATAAATTTATAATATCCCCTATTATTTTATACAGGCATTTCATTAACTTGACGTGCCTAGTAGTAAAAGTCCTGGCTTTCAACTTTTGTACACTGACTGTAGAAAGCTATCAATGTATAATAATATGTAAATTTAATATCGAATTTCTCTAATCAACACGCACTACGTCGTCGATATTTATCATAAACTGAAATTCGATATTATTGCAACAAAGTAAAAGCAATTCCTAGCCGTCGTAGGACTCTCCCTCGCATTTGCTTATTGTGTTTCATCACAGAATGTAAACGTCCAAATAAAATAATTCTCATGTTAAACCCTACACACAGCCTTCATCGTCATAACAAGACTGTATACTAGTCCAATGAGCGTTCATGATAATTATTATTATTACTATTATTCGGTTAAACGTGTACTGTACCGGTCGTGTGTCATTTTATTTGAAGTCGGTGACTTTAATATAACATTATTATTATTATGTTTTGTCATAAAATTCCTTTCTCTTTCCATCGTACGCTTCCATATTACATTGCGTTACCTCACTACGGATCGTGCATTGAATATTATGCTCGTTATTGTTTTATCATTATCGCCTTTATTATAAAATCGCGTTACTATATATTATTATATATTTAGTGTACGGGTAATACCCCCCATACGATTAATTTCAGTTCAATCGCCGCGCCGTGTCTGTATAATAGTAATATCGTGTATTGTGTATACTGCAGAAAGACAATAAATAAAAAAATGTGAATTCTCGCAGCTCTCTTGGTTGTTCGCGTGTGCTTCGGCATTCTTCGTCTTATTATCAATATTAATTACATTACATACACGTGTTTGTGTTAAAGATTCACGTTTATTGTCTTACGAAATTCACCGGAGTTAAGTAACTTGTTATGCGTTATAATATGTTGTTTGCATATTATGTGTGATTGTTGTTTGAGTGGCAACACTGTAAAATATGTATATATATATCTGTGGTTAACGGCTCATAGTAGTGACTTATGTCAGTGTGCCCGGTAAGAAGAAAAAAAAATACCGTTCAAAATATTATGGTGGTGATAAGATATGAATGATAACATTTGTTTGTAAACAACAATAATATTTAAAGATAAGAGATAATAACTTATTTTATCCGAAGACTGTTTTCTTTTGTATGGTCGTACTAGTTTTAGCCCTTCTGTTTACTTCACCACCATTAAGCAAGTATACTATGTTAGTTTATCTGTTTGTGAGAGAGTGCGTTTAAAAATATGTATTTTGATTGTTTAATAAGAGACATAATTAGTTATAAATATAATTTATAAATTATTTTGAATTGCTCAATATTACAACGGTAGGCCTCAAATAATATTATAGGCAACTACATTATTTGAACATAAGCTTATATAATTAGATAGTTTCACGCATTAATTGATCTATACAATATAATAATATGTCAGCAATATAAACATTGTATTAGACCAGAACTACAATACACGCAATTCCTGGTTGATATTGCCAGGAAGAAGTGATTGATAATACTATAAGTCCGTATTAAGGTAGGCGGTCGTATTAAGGTTTTCACGTGGTAAGAATTATGAATGTTGCTATGGTTACAAGCATATTTCTTATATAGCACACAGAGAACAGTTTTTAACCATAAAAGAGGTAATAATTTGTACTTAGAGTCGGGCCAAGTACAGGCAGTGCATATATATATATATATATACTCTGTTATCAAGATCTTATTTATGGGATACAGCCCATAAGAAAGTCGGTTTGTGACGTTGTTTTGCTCATGAGTTGTACCGTTAAATATTACTTATAATGGCATATTAAGAAAACATTTAACATTATGAGTCCACGTGCTTTGTATATATTCATTAGTATTAGTATATCATGTTTGCCATGTTATTTTCTCATAAATATTCAAACATATATATGTATAATTTGGTCTTGTAATTATAATTACAGACGAAAGTGTATAGTTTGAATAGAAAGTAGTTTTAAAAAAGGTTTCAAGATGTAAATCTGTTTTTTTGTTTTTGTCAATGTAAATCGTTTACGATAAGACTTATATTATATATACATTTTTTTCATTACTACAAAATATTGCAATCGTTTCAAACTGTTCAAGAGATATAATAGAACATGAACAAAAAAAAATTTACAAAACTTGTTAAATAATCTGTTAATTCGGTAGCAACTCGTTTAGTTTTATAATTTATCTACAATAACCAATATAATATGCATAAGGCATTTAGTTTTTTCGATGTAATTAATGTAATCAACGATATTGTACTTACACGATAAAACATGGATGGGAACATGTTAAATTGGTATTTTTCTATTTTATAACATGTGTTTAATTTAGTTTGGAAACAGGTTTTTTTGTAGTATTGAAACGTGTAAAGTTTCTTAACCTAACCCAACTTAACTTGCTCCATGTGCAACAGGATATTGTTGAAATCCGCTAAACCGAGTCACCGGTTTTTCAACTTGAAATTTTATTTCAATACTCGAATGCTATTATTATAATAATTGTGTATTATATAAAAAAATTAATTTAATAATAGAATAATATATTGTATAAAATAATTTCTCAACGTTTTCATACTCTTATAGTGCATGGACAACGACGTGCATGGAATTTAATACGTTTATTATTTTCAATAATGTATTATGTTAAATAACATTATTATGATATAGTAAACAAAATATAGTGGCAGGAGATCAAAAAAAAAAACTTGATAAATGTAAGTTATAATTTTGTTAAACTTGTAAAAACAGAAAAGAAATTTGGTGAATAATTTTAGTTTCAACGTTCTGACTTTCGTTTGTTGTTACCAAGTGGATTACATATTATGGAGTTTGATTGATTAAGAATAAGACATTCATTTGCTCTTAAGATAATTGCAATTTTATAGTTTCTTTTTCTTTTTGGAGACACTTTAGTTTATGTTATCTTAAAGTATTTACCATTTTATCCTTTCTATTTTTTTTTTCAAAAGCTCTATCGGCTTTTCAAACTTAAACGGTTAGGTATGAACTTGTTAAATTAGGAATAATTTTCTTACAATTTTGACTGGTCGATAAACCAGTTTTAGAATAACTACATTTAAATGTATTTAAGTCAAAAATTAAGAAGAAAAACAACAACATTTGCACTGTCTTGAGAGATAATTGGGTGTGTTGTCCTTGACGAAATACCCTGTACTGTACAAATAGTGCTCAACGTTGTTGAACCTTGAACGCTAAAATAAAATCACTAAGCGTGTTTTTCGGTCGTGCGTCTCGACAGGAAAGTTGTTCATGTTATTATGGTCAACACGGGACAGTATGGTCAGCGGCGTTCGGTATTATCTTAGGCCCGCGCATTATTCTACGTCCGACTTTCCCTATCCGGCGGTCCACGCGAATCAGGTCGAGGAAAACTGTGGCCGAGGGTTTTCCGGCGTTCTCTCTTTTCTGATATTTATCAAAAACAATTGACGTCGTACGACAACCGCTCTCGCGATGATCTACTTCGCGACGGAAGAGCACGGTGACCATCGCGTCTCGCTGCCGCCACCGCCGCCGCCGCCGCCGCGGTCGCGGTAACCGCGCAGTGGCGTTTCCCCCGCCATCCGGACGGAGGCGGCACGTCTCGTTCCGGTGTGCCATCCGTCGTGTGCACCGTCGTCGCTGCATTCCGTCATCCGTCGTCGACCGGACCGGTAACAATTGTGCAGTTTTTTATAGTCTTTTTACACGCGTTCGCGACGTCATGTTCTACGAGATGCGCGACAAGAGATACGAGTCCGGGTCTTCCGGGTGTCTGGGCCGGTGTTGGGTGCTGGTGGCCATGTGCGGCCTGCTCATCACCGTGTCGTTTATCGGCATGACCCTGTGGCTGGGCATGAACAGCCGTCCGGACGTGCCGCCGGTGGCGCCTCACTACCACCAGCCGCCGCAGCCGCAGCCGCCGCCGGTGCACGCGGTGCCCAACGTCCGCCGGCACCACTACGAGACGACCACCGCCGGCACGGCCAAGGCGACGTTCCCGACGGTCGACTACGAGGCGATGCCCACGACCAGCATTAAGAACAAGAAGGGCAGGATCGAGATCGTGGAGCACGAGAAAACCGCCAAGATCGAGCCGACCACCCCCGTGGCCGCCGTCAGGACGCCGGAGCCCAAACTCGGCGACGGCGTCAATCCGATGGAAGAAGAGTCGCCGGAACCGTCGCGGAACACCAACGGCGTGCGGAAGAAGAGCGAAGTGGTCTACCCCAACTGGTCGGACCTGGAGGTCAAGGCCGAAGAGGAAATCGAAGCGCCCCAGGAGTTCCAACCGTACTACGCGAGCGAACAACCCGCGGAAGTGCACAAGTACAACAATCCGCCCATACCCGCTTTTTCGTACCTCAAAGAACACCCCGTCCGGTTGACGAGCAAGGACATCAGACCGCCGGGCACGGTCGAGGGCGAAGAGTATCCGTATTTCTACCCGCAGTTCGAAGACGTCATCACCGACGACAAGGCGGTCAACCCCGTGTTTAATTTCTTGCGGAAGAGACTGCAAGACGTGCACGACTGGTTGGCTCAGTCCGGCGGCAACCGCAGGAACCAGAGCAACCAGTGGATTCAAGTGGTGGACGCGGTCAACCAGTCGCTGTACACCAAGAACGCGACCGCGGTGCTGTCCAAGCTGCGCGAGATGTACTCCAACAACAGCGAATTGGCGGCCGACACGCCGGTGGCCAGTCTCATTTACCCGACGGCGGCCAACGACTCGGCGGCAAGCCTCGTGTCTTTCGGCCTTTTGGCCATCGACCTGTTCCTGTTGCACAACGTCCAGCAGATAGCCGTCAACGAGGACGCCGAGGCCGGACAACAGATGCTCAACGACCCCGACGTGGTGGCGTTGAACGCGCTGTTCCTGCCGCCCGACCGCGTCAAGCAGCTGCGCTCGGCCAACTCGCGCGTGCTGTCCGACGACCGTCGCGACCGCGGCAACAAAGGGTTCGTGTCCGAGCTCATGGAGTTCGTCAACGGCGGCTTGAGAGCGGTGCTGAACTTGAGCCGGGCGTACAGGAGCAGCTCGCGCGCCGCGACGGCGGCGGCGGAGGGCAAGAGCGTGGGCGACGGGCCGTCCACGAGCGGATCTTCGTTGGACTGCATTTGGACGCTCTACTGTAGAAATCTTGACAAAACCGCCAAGTTGGACGGGCCTTACGGATTTTTAGCCAAGATGAACAGGTAAGATTCAATAATCTAACTTAACCGAAGCTAATAGGGTTGTTCTATATTATGACATATGCCAGAGAAGTATTAGAAAAATGTTCGCCCCTAAGATAATAATGATATTTGCCTCATCATAAATAATGTTAAGAAAATAAAATGGTTTTTGCAGCCCTGGCAAAAAAATGACCGCCCTAAGAAAGTGCCTACGTTGTTGCTTGTCCTTATATTAGCCATAGTGTATTTTGAGACACAAAAATGTGTTTTTTTTGCCTTGTAAATTCTACTTATTGATTACAAAGAAAAACTACTTTTCCTTTTAAAAAAATCAGTTTTATGTGTTTTTTTATAGATAACTTTTCATTTTTAAGTAATTATAATTGCCGCGCAGTTGCACTGTAATAATATTACAACAGCATCTACGGCTGTAAACGAATGATGATAATAATTCAGCAATAGAAAGTACATGGAAATTAAAATATTTTTTAATGGCGTGTAAAAGTTGTCGGTGAACACTAGCGGCTATATTGGAAATACAATATTTACAAAAACACATTTCTCTAGTTATTAACATAATATATATTAAAGAATAATAATTATTAACGGTTCGATCAGCCATATATTATTTAATTAATTATTTATATTTTAATCACCGGACTGGTTTAATTTATTCTCAAAAATAAATCCGTTTTTTACGTCCAATATAAATGACTGTTTAATTGCAATGTTGTTTTTTTTCCCATTATCCGATGGCCGTGCATAACACTATAAAGCTATACTGGACATATTGTCATATCAAATATTATGTAAATAGAAATTCGATACCGCGTCGTACTTAGGCCGGCAGTCGATGAAACAAATGATGATTATAATAATTACAATGCGCCTAACGGTTTTAGGTTAGGTTTTTTTTCGCATATTCTACTTAATACGTTCTGTACAACTAGCGGTTTTCTCACGACCGATTCAACACAAACGAAGGTTATGATAACTGAAGGCGTTCAGATGTGCGCTACATCTGCTCATGAATATTTAAAAGAAATTCTCAGGTCAACGAGACACTTTCACGGAGTGTCTTGTACACAATATACAGTATTTTATACACATCAAATGTATATAATTTCATAGTTTCTCAAAACGCAACGTCTAGTCCTGGTCCGGATGATCTATACATGTCCCAACCCACCTCTGCCAAGATGTTGACCGCGCCTGTAAACATTTCTCTATTGCCCGTCTATGACAGTTTGACCGAATAATAGCGCAAAGCGACCTTTAATGGCTGCTGAAGTCCTTAGGTTGTGCACCGTTCGAGCGAATCGTGTGTGTCCTAAACCTACTGGTCTAAGAAACAATGGATTGTTGAGAAAATAACCGAATAGACAATAAGACGAACACCGGATTTGTCGGTTTTCGACGTGGAAATTATCCACGTTCATTAGTGCTGTGTGTTTTTTATCGAGTGGATTTAAAAGGTTTTGTAATAACATGTTATTGTGTTTGTTTTCGGCGTATTACCGGGGAGCTGAGGTCTTCTTATCTCTTTCTTACATAGTGTCAACGCGGTTTTCTTATTTATATTCTCGGATTCGGTCACACTCGCGGTTCGAGGGATAAGGTCGAGCCGGTTTCGATGAATGAAATTAAAATTAAAAAAAAAAAAAACCGGCTAATTAAAATCTTCCGCCATAACAACAATACAGTGACAAAATGGCTCTAAATTTGAATAATTCCACACAGCCTTAAAAACAATGGCCGTACAGTTGTTATTGAAGAGTTCGCACTTGTAGCCGAGTATGGTAATTATTTTTTAATTTGTTCAATGGCGTTCAGAGGCGATCTGAACGGGTTTCCATTTAGCCAGATAACCGGCGCAGCGTTAGTGTAATATAATATAACTGTGAGAACTAGAGTACACCATGTACATTTTTTGGTCTTCCAGAAAAATTCTGATTAAGCCCAGGAGTCGTTTGGGTATATATTCGCTTGATCAATTATGTCCGCCTCTGTTGTGTGTGTTTCATACTTGGACCTGTAGAAATGCAGGTATTTAACCGTTGAATGTACTTAATTTTCAATTGATTTGGCTCACAACGCTTTCGTCGAGTGCTGTACAAATAACAATAGCCTCGTACAAGCGTGTAACGATAATATTATATTATTGTAGTTAATGCGTTTATCCGGACCGATCATTATTATTATTTGACTAAATAACCTATTTATTTATTTATCGGTCATAATCGTTTAGTCCATTAAATCAGTAGTTCATATCAGCACACGTCCATTCATCTTTACCTACTTGCTGTTCGTCAGAGATTTATGGTAAAAGTCGACTGTGACGAATAGCTGTATAATTGCGATCGATTTAAAATAGAAGTAAAAAGTGGAAACATCAAAAACATAATATACATAATTTTCCAGTGATTTTTAATTTTTAATAGTAAACCAGTGAATCACCCCGTTAGAGGTATATAATAGGCATTCGTTTAATTGGTTTTCAATGAATTTTCCGAGTTGCCGGACTTGGGGCTGCTATTGTTTTTTTTTTTTTTTTGGAGTGGAGCTTTCGCTTGGTCAGAATGTGTGTTGATTGTTATCGAAGAGACAGCTGTACAAGACAAAAGGGTTAAACACCACCGTGTATTGTTAAGTGAATGATTACGGTCATTGGGCGGACTTCGATTTGTATAATAGTTGGCCGGAAATCCGAATGGGTCGCCGATTTTTCGTCGATTATTTTCTCATTGATTTTCCGGTTAGCAGAGTTCTACAGCAGAGCTGTTATCGGATTCACGCCGTTGCATTATAATATCCGACGTCGATAAAAGAGCATTTTTTATTCATAGACAATATACCATAGTCAACGGTAACCACCTGTAAACGCACGATGTAAACATTGCATTGATTTTGGACATTTAACAACCGATTGTCAACAAGGAATAGAAAAAAAAAAGGATTTATGCAATTATATGTACCATCTTTATTTTGGCCTTAACCTTCCAACTAACTATTATATATATATATATATATATAATTTTATTAGAATAAACCCTCGGCAGCAAAGTCATTAAATGTACATTTTACAAGAGCCATAAAAGACTGGAGATTTAGTCTACCTTCGGTCGTATTTCATTTTAATAAAATATATCTGACAAAAATGTGTTTTTCGCGAGGAATAAAAATGTATCATTAAAAAATAAGAACAAAAAATTACAAATTTTATAGGCAACACTTATTTTTTTTTAAATTTAATTATTAATAAAGCTAGTAAGTAGACAGCCGGCGTCTTATACTTGAAGGGTTTATATAATACATAGGCAGTTTTGTACATTTTAGACAATAAAATGATAAAATTATTGAACATACATAGTTAAGCTTGATGATGACGAAAACAATGCCTTCTCGCGGTACCGTATCGAAGTAGAAAAACAGTGTTTCAACATAATCGTCCGGACAGGCATCTACGTTTAAAAAAAAATTGTTAAAAGAAAATATGCACACACTACATGTACAAACATGTGGTGTGCACTTATCTAACAAGGTAATGTGATGTTACGAATCGAATGATTATCCGTGTTACATTTATGTTATGATAACCACAAACAGAGCAAATCGATTTTCAGACAACAACGGTATTGAAATACTTGTTTACAGGAACAGTTAGATTTTTTTTTTTTAGGCGTACAAGCCACTTATTAGAAAGCAACAATTTTTGCAAAGAGGATGAGTTAATTTTTGCAGTCTTGACAGTCTTGTCATTGGAAACCAATTTCAGTGTGTGCCAATGTAGTGGACAATATCATTCATTATTAGGCAGTAGGTAGTAGACATGAAAATGTTTTTAGCACTAATTACACTATCGCAATGTGGGCCTACGATTCAACGCGAACGTTTTATGAGTATTAAAAAAAAATAATAGGTATAAAACTAAATAACTGCGTTGGTCGGCATGACGTCCATGATGTCCGTTACACGCGAATATTATAATAACATCTGGAAAAAAAATAGAACAATTATTTTTTTTTTGTGTTTTTTCTTGCACGAGTGTCAATAATGAAAAAACGTGCCGCTTTTCCTAGATCTAATGATACGGTCGTGTGTGGGTCATTTTGTCTGCCGGTGATTTCTTGTGGTTATTCACCTTGCCCCATTGAACTGTCGAATCGGATGACATATTCTACACTATGCCTGTATGTTGATCATTAACGGCGAAAAGTATCAGTCTTGTCAATCGTGGAATAACTTCAAAGAAAGAAAGAAAAAATATATATATGCAATATATAAAAAAATATATAGCTTCTTTCTTTTTTTTTTTACATATATTTTTATAGCTACACAAAAAGATATACTATTCTAGTCCACGATAAGCGGCAGTATAGTCTACAGAATTAAGTCAGTGTGCGCCCAGTTAGAAGAAAAACAAAATACCGTTTAATAAATACAGTAGTGATAAGATATCAGTGATAACAATTTTTTGAAAAAACCCACATATTAACCTAGATAGCCAACCTATGCATTTAAACGTACATTCATAGAACGGCGGCCATATGCAGTGCGGGCAATGTTTACATTGTGTTATAATTGATCAGTATGCCATTGTGGTATAAGGTACACTTAGTTTAAGGCACAGACTATACGTAATCATACGATGTAAATGATAATTGACCGAATATTATCACAGATAAGAACTTTTTTATTTTTATTTAAATTTAATCTGTGATGTTATTATAAAAAATTTACCCTGGACTCTGCGGTCACACTGATTTCATTGAGTTATCTGTAGTAGCTGTGTATAAGGTCTGTTACTGTAAAGTGCGCTACTATTATTGTATTATCACAACGCAATATTTATAACATAATGTAAACATTGTCCACACTGCGTGTCTGCATATGGCCGCCAAGCTTCAGTGAAAATATTTAAATCAGCTTTCTAGGGTAATATTTATATAATTTAAAAACATATCTATGAAAAAACGGTAATATTTCAAGATAAGAGTTAAAGACTTATTTTATCATATACA